ACCTTGAAATAAACAACAAAGGTGATGTGGCCATGTGATATACATGCAGTCCTTAGATATTGTATTTCATCCTGCTCCAGTTTGAGTTCACTTAAATTCAAACTAAGAGCTTGGAATGCAAACTTAAAAGTTCTGAGCATAGATAAATGCTACCTTTTGTACTTTCCTGAATGAGTTGTTACCTGCAGTTACTTTCAAGAATGGAGTACATTTTTGTTCATAATTATAAATGGGGAGTTACACAGATGTTCGATTTTGGCTGTAGGTGAAAGTACAGGGTTCTCTATTTCAACCTCTATGCAGGAGAGTACACAGCCATTTACATTTGTCTGATTTCAGGTTTAGAAGCAAGGCATGCACACAATTCAGAGATGAATGGACTCCCCCTGGGCAGTCTGTTTTTACCCTTAGTCTTCTTGAAACAAGTCACAGTCCACAGTACTGATATGCATCCCCTACAATAACCAACTCCAAACACACTAGTAAGAAATGGGTGTTACACTGAACATTCAGTGGGGAGATGGACATTCACTTTCACCATACTCAGGACAAATGAAGAAAAGAATGCCCACGAACATCTGATCTTCCTTGTTCCCCAAAGTTACCCATGCAGCTGTCCCATCACTCTTCTCTTCTCACCCACCTCCTTGTCTACAATCCTGCCCTCATTTATAATATAACCTTCATCAATAGTCTGGTTGGAAACCAGCCAGAACAGCAGGGCCACCACCTCCTCCTTCTAGCTCTGCAGGGTCCCATCTTCCTTCTACACTCCTTGTTGTATATACCACCATTCCATCTTACAAATACAAAGTGTTTACCCAACAAAATGCACCAGTTCTTAAGGGGAGAATTCTATGCAAAATAAGTTTTATTTCCCATTTATTTTCCATCCCTGTTAGCCAATAGACTATATGCTGTTAATCCTAACAATAACCTTGTGAGGGTGGTTACAATTCCCAGCATGCTAAGAAGGTAACAGGGAGAAACTTATAGAAATCTGGATACTAACACATGCCAATACCATAGTGTGTCTATCAGAGCCCTGTTAGTAGCCCCCTGCCCCACAATGCTGCAGTGCAAATGCAGGTAGGTCTGGGTTCTGAGCTGCAGCTGAGGCATATCTGGGTGGCTCCCTCTACATCCAGGCAGCAGCTGTTCTCATTATCCATGCACCTTCTGCAAAGTCATCTTCAAATCCCCTTTGAGAAGATCCTGTCTTCTCTGAGTCCACCGTGTCCACAGATGAAATGCAAGAAATTTCATTATTTGTTGTTTACACAGGTTAAGGAACTTGCTGGGGCCATGCAGCTGTTAAGTGTTACTGACAATGAGAGTTAACAAAGGAGCATCTAACATCCAGGTGACATTTTGAAGCACTCTGCTATTATGCCTCTCTAAACAGGTCTCTGGTCCTGGGTTACATTTAGATGGAGAAAAGAGGCATTTTTTCCCCCATTCCAAAATGACTTCAGGAAGCCAACAACACTACACAGGGGTTAGAAACTCTACTTCCGATAGGTGGATGGGCCTATGTAGAGGTGAGGTATGGGTTGGGGGTAGCCCCTTCTGCACACCCCCTGCTACTATTCCCCTGCCTGCTACAGAGAGGACTATACATAAGAGTAGAGCCTGGGCCACATTAGGGTATACATGTGTCAAAGACCATATGTATTTCCACTTTCTGCTCCATGCTGTCACCCAGGCAAGAAAGCCAGGCCTACTCCATCTGAGTAGGCCTAGTGAGAATCCTTTGCTCTGTTGGTAGCCAGTTGGTGGTAAGGTCTGGATGTATGAGGCAGACAACAAATCTACACCATTAGCTGCAACCTGGCTGCTCCAAAGAACTTTAAGACAAGTGAATATGAAAGCAGTATGATAATTTCCATTTTGTTGTTTGTTCCTTGCATATTTAGTTCAAGAGTTACCAGCAGAGGGGCAAGGCAATAAAGGCAAGCACTGAGCCATTCCTTGGGCTCTGTTGTGATATTTACAATATGATCGACACACAGGGTTTTATAGACCATACAATCTATAATCCACACCAGGACACTTTTGAAGAGTGAAAGAGAGCCTATCAACCATGCCAGGACAATTTCCTGGTAAGCAGGAATGTATGGTCACCCTGTCAAAACCATCAGAACCTGCCCTGAATCCTAACCTAGTACCTCTGATCACACCAATAGGTTTTCCTATCTACTTATTAAATAAAAGAGAACCTAAGTCCAATAACAATAGGTAATAAGGGAAATTAGCATTGGAATACTCAAGGTATTAAAAAATTCCATATATCCTGCCCATGCCTTCCGTTTGGAGTATTCATAAAACCACCTAATTTGTGGAAAGCACCTTAGAGTTTATAGAGCACTTTCATAGGCCTGCTTCAGCTTAATAATCCTCTGAGGCAGGAGATAGGTCCACCATCTTTTTCTTTTCTTTGTTTTTTAGTTGTTGACAGAACTTTGTTTTTATTTATTTGTACATGGTGCTAAGAATGGAATCCAGTGCCTCTCACATGCTAGGTAAGTGCTCTCCGCTGAGCCACAACCCCAGCCTCTCGGTCCAGTATCTTAACATGGGCCACGCAGCAAGCAAAAGAGGCATGACTCAAGCCTGAAATCTGGGATAGCCTCATATTCTCTCCTCTAACCACATTATGTTCCCTAATGCCACCTACTCTGATAGGCCAGTAGCTTGTGTTCTGAACCTAGACTACCTGTTAGAGAAGAGAACAATGTGAAACGAGGCCCAAGGGAGATAGTGGGCCAGACACAATCACAATTGCCTGAATCACAATTGCTGCAAAGGCAGTCATTAGCACACATTCAAGACAGAAGCATAGATCTATGTCCATTTATTTTTTAAACCATCCTAGATCTGGTAAAGAAAACTGCCAAACCCCAACATGGTTTTCTGAAGAATTTTCTAAGATCTAAATTTTAACTTTAATTAGCAAAGGATTAAAATCCAGCATTTAAATAGTAGCTTTTTTTTTTTTTTTTCCATTTTTCTCTCTTTTAAATAGAGATGGGGTCTCACAGTGTTGTCTAGATCTTGAACTCATAGGCTCAAGTGATTCTTTAGCCTCAGTCTTCTGAGTGGCTGGAACTACAGGTATGTGCCATGGAGCACAGCAAAACAGTGGTTCCTTATAGGAGGCAGCACATATCCTTAGGGACATTAGGAAATGCAGGAGGGAGGGGCATTTTTGCATTAAGATTGGGAGGTGAGTTGCCTTCTTCTATCTGTGCCTCCTAAATCAATAAATTTCAATGACATTTCTATGTGACAAAGACTAGAATCAGTGGATTCCAATTCACATACAAGCCTAGCATTTGCAGACTACTGGGCTTCTGAGGACTAGCCTGTGGCTGATGGATGAGGACACAGTGCTTGCTGCTCTCCAAGGCTCTTAAGATGTCAGCAGAACATATAGAAGTTCTGTAGATCTGCAAGCTCATGTCAGGGAAAAGGGACCTTGATGTGTTCATCTAAAACACAAGGTTCCTACTCCTATCAGTGTACTATGATGAAGTCTGCACAGCACATATATTGTAACTGTAGGAAAAGGATTTGGAAATTAAATTACATGGCTAATTTAGTCCTGTCTCTCCCTAGCCTATAAAAACTTCTTCCTATTGCATACAATCTCAACCAAAAAACATTAGAAGATCTAAAGGACTAACTTGATTCACACTTTTCCTGGTTTGACAGAAGAACTGATGTTTCCAAGAGGTAATTCCCCACACTGCCAAAGACAGAAGGTGCTTAGGGGCCATACTTACTGAGCAGATTCATACTGCCAGGAGAATCTGATGAGAATGTAAATTTAGAGATTAAGTTTTCACTCTCTGTGATTCAAGAATGCTTCGGTTTTGTCCAAATCACAAACATCCTTTAGGTTTTAGCTATCCATATGTCATCATCCCCCACTGGGGTAGCTTCAGATAGACATCTATACATCAAGTTTGACTCAAGTGTGCAGAGTATCACAAGGGGATGGTCCTAGAGATACTCCTTCTCCTCAGTAGAATGAATGACGTTCCATCTTGGAGATCCATTTTCAATCAGTGAACAAAGGGGCTTTAATTCTCAGCACAGCACTGAAGATTTTATGTGTGTGTGTGTGTGTGTATTTATGGACAATTAGTTAATTAGTAGTGATCCACAGAGGAATGAGTCATTTATGCCTTTAACAATGCATTTTCAAAATGAAGCCTATCCATGACCATTTAATTGGGGTACTTAAGACACTGGTGATTGGGCTTCAAGAAGTTCATGATACCAAAGAAGGAGGAGTAAGAATGTCAGGAAGGAATGACATTCCTTTTTCTTTCATATTTTCTTGTTTCAGGAAAGGAAATATTATTAAGAGAAAATGAAAGTTGACTTAAGTAGAAATGGGAGAGATTGAGAAAGTAAAGTGTTTTTATACAACAAACCTTCTCTGTTTGACACCCATAAGTAGAGAACAATGAATGGGATGATAACCTAACTCCTGGCTGTGAATTTCTTAGTGTTTTTTTTTTTTTTTCCTTCCCCCAAGGTTCACTGATATGATAGCGGTTGGGCCAAAAGTAGGCCTTTTCTTCATGAGAACACCACCATTTCTAGTTTAAGACACTAATTCAAGGAAATTATGTTCCCTTCCCACCTTGCTTATGGAAAACTGCCTATTCACAGAGCCAAAGTAATGTGGTGATTAAAAAGGCTTAACTAAAAAGAGAAATGGGTCAGTCCTTCCCTGTGATTTTCCTATCTCAGCACTTGCTGGTAGGGAGCAAACATCATTGCTCAATCAGCACATCATGACTGTTACTGGAGGAGCAGACTGGAAAGAAGTGGGACTCACCAGTGATCATGCCCTGGTTCGAGAGGAGATGCTAATCATTTCATGAGTAATCCTCACCAATACACCAGGTCTGGAAGAATCTATTTTCCTGAAACTTCAAAGTATGTGTGTAATAGACTAAGAAGAATAAATCACAAAAGAAATAATATGCCAAACAAAAAGTAAGAATGCCTCTTTATAAACTTTGCATAAGGTCTGAATTATCTCTTACAACATGTATGCATGTGTTCACGCCATAGAGATGGAGGGGAATTCACTTCCAAGTAACCTGTTGAAATGATCTCCACAGCTTCAGGTTCCCCTGAATGGCTTCCAGGTTGTTGTGTTTAGAGTCTCCAGCACTATGAAGATGGCAGCTCTCTTAGATTCCCCAAACATCCATGACCTACATCATGTCCAGCTGTAAACAAAAATGACATATTAAGAAGGGAACCAGGCTGGATGTGTGCTGCATGCCTGTCTGCCTATCATCCCAGTGGCTTGGAAGACTAAGGCAGGAGGATCACAAGTTCAGAGCCAGCCTCAGCAACTTAGCGAGGCCCTAAGCAACTCAGTGAGACCCTGTCTCAAAATAAAAAATAAAATGGGCTGGGGATGTGGCTCAGTGATTAAGCACCCCTGGATTCAATCCTTGCCCCCACCTCCATCCCCAAAGACCTGCCACTGATGCTCTGGCAAAACAGAGTTTAATGAAAACTATGTGATTCTGCAATCTGTATGCAGGGTAAAAATGGGAGTTCATAACCCACTTGAATCAAATGTATGAAATATGATATGTCAAGAGCTATGTAATGTTTTGAACAATAATAAAAATTAAAAAAAAAAGAAAACTACATTGGTTAGACACGCATGGACTTGCACACTTATTCACTACTAACTACTTTAGAGGTTAAATACCAAATCATTCCTCATTTCAGTATTAAGAACTTCTCACAAAAAGGATGAAAGCAAAGTATGCAGTTTTTGCTGGACAGTTATTGTGTGAGGTTTAAAGAGAAGAAGTTTCTAAACCTGAAAGATGGATGTAAATTCCAATATTTATACAGTTTTCCAGGTATCCACAGCATGGTGTAATGAGGTGCAGTAATCCTCAAATGCCTATTAGTCTATTTTGTTTATGTTAAGTTAATTGAGAACATTTAAGAAGTAGGTTTCTTAAAGGCTGTTCTTATTTGTCAACCCACACAAATTGCATGTTGTATTACTTATTTTTGGTTAAGAGCAATTTCAGTAAATTATAACATTTTGCTACTAAGAAAATAGCCTCCCCAGCTCGTTCTAGCCCTTCAAAGAAGAGAATTAATTTGAATGAACAATGTAGTTGAAATCGCAGAACATAGGAATTTCCATTATGAAATCACCTATCTGATTAAATTTATAATGGCAATAAATAACAGTGTAGAGAACTTCTGATATGTTAGAAATTAAAACACAAATAAGAAACAAGTCTATGATAAGCAGCTTTTGTGGCTGAATTTACAGCTCAATTTCATTCTTTAGAACACCTGGTATATATTGAAAGCGCTTACCAAATCGTCTACATCACCACCTTCTTCAAACATGGCTGCTTTGTCTTCATGTGGTTTTTCTTTGGGGGCCAGAAACTGTGAATAGAAAATCAGTCATGTTACTACAGTGACATTTTTGCCTCTTTTGATGAAGCGAACAGTTTGCTAACATTCCACAGGCAAAACTAAGGAAGGCTTGCTTAGTAAAGTCCCATTGCAAATGGTCTTTAAAAATCAAACAACAACAACAACCAAAAAAAAAAAAAACCACATACATCTTGGCATATTCTTCCTTTGGCTCTGGACAAGAGCACCAATTTTGAGGTTTAATAGTCCATACTAACTAGTTACTAGAGAAAGGTCTAATGAAGAGGGAGGATTTGTCAGGGCTTATCAGGATGGTGAATCTGGGGAGGGTCCCACATCAGCATGATGGACACGAATACCTCACTTGATATTTCACGTCTGCTTCCACAAGTAAGCTGGCAAGATAAGATTAAGAAAATAAGCACCCCCAAACAGTGTCTTGACTCAAATAAAAAAAAATGAGTGAACTTGAGAGGCTGCTTAATCCCTTTTATGGAAGTCCTTCCATTTGTTAGAAATTGTCAGAAAACGGGCAGATAAAAAAATGGATGAGAAAACTTCTGTTCGGCATCAGTGTTTTAGACCTGGAACTTATCAAAGGCAGACACAGAAAAGCAAAGGCCCTAAAGCCAGGTCTGTAAGTATCAAAGGATGATACTGAGAATTTTAAAAAGTTGTGAGTGCCCTAAAAAATCATTTGAATATCTTTTTTTCTATCCTGTCCCTCCAAGACATAATGGTAGGGTGTCTTTTCAAACTTCATGCATGTGGCAACTGCCTCCAAGAGCCAAGTTCTACCAATGCCTATCTATCCTGAGAATGTGACCTTTACCTGGGAGCACAGACCAGCCTATAGGAATGAGCATTTTAAAGGGGGTGATGAAAGGTAGACTATGTCTCTCTGTCAGCATTCCCTAAGTCAGCCAGAGTGCAGTGGAGCACACTTGTGTTGGAGCCTTTTGGCTTAATGCTGCTTTCCTGCAGCTGCCTCCACTCAGGCAAATCTTGTTATACATGTTATCAACATGAAAAAATGGCAAGAACTGCTTTTCCTATACATTCCTGTTATTGTTATGGTACAGTGGACATGATAAAGGTCTTTGAAACCTAAGACCTATAAATAAACTATATCTCTTTTAACAAATTATAAATCAAAGTCATTCACTAATTAGGTTGCACGCAGCAAATCTCAGGAAGCAAGCTCTGCCCATCTTTCCATTTCTGAAACATAGAAACTCACACACAATTAACATAATGGTAACAGCAAAGGCTGTTTCTACATAGCTGGGCATTGCCTTGACACAGATGTGGCCAGGTTGACTTGACCTCTCCCCTGGACTTTGTTGCTTCACTATTCTTGAACCTTCATTTTGACTGAGAGATTAATTCTTTTAAGGACACATATGGATTTTACTGAACTATGTGCAGGGCTGGGAATCAATGCTATGACACGCAGAAAATCCTTGCAATGGGGGCAGACAGTCTGGAAGAGAAATGTAATGCAGCTGCTGTATCATTAATTCAATTTATTGTGGGTGATTATTAATAGAGATATCTGAGAACCAAGTATAGATAAATAAGAAATTCATACATTTATTGCACATGGTTTCCAAATTAATCTTTATAGTTCTCCCGATTATTGTCACTATTAAAAATTGTATCTTGCTTTCCCTACTCATTGTAATCAACCATTTCATGGTTTTCCTTATATTAGAAATATATGGCTAATGAATAAGTCTCATCCAGTTAGGGTGAGGGCTGGGGATATGTAGCTCAATGGTAGAGCAGGTGTCTAGCATGAATGAGGACCTGGGCTCAATACTCAGTACAAAAAAAACCAAAACAAAACATGTCGAACACATAGGGTGAACAGAGTAAAAGGCAGAGCTGTGTCCTGTCATAGCCTTCTGTGGGACCAAAGAACTAGCATATCCAAAACAAATGACAAACTCCATGCGCTCAGTTGCACAACAGTCCACTATATCTTTTACATTAGTAACCTGAAACATTATAGGTATTTACAGATGAATATAGAAAATTCTTGATGTTTTTTGGCATTCAGCCTCTAAAAGTTGCAATTCCCATTCCTTCCTCACCTGAAAACCCTCTTTTAGAGTGAAATTAAAGGATAAATTAAGATAGGTCTGTCTGCACAATGTGACCATGGTATATATAATCAAACACAATGGCACATGTCTGAGGATAGGCCAACTTCCTAGGAAGAGAGGAGCAGCAGCATAAAAACCCTTTCATTTCCATCAAGTGATAAACATCTGCAGCTGATTTCCCTGACAGATCTGCCTCACATTTCTGCATAGCAAATTATGGCTAAAAGCTGAGCTGCCATCCATTATGTTCCCAAGCCCGGGCAAGGCTGATCTCTTATACACAGCGCTCTTCCTCATCAGAGTTTTTAATGGCAAGTAATTTCCAGGCTAAGCAGTGACAGGGAAGCTAGAGGAAGCTATAGACAGAGCAGAGAATTCAAGGACTGGTTTGCTTTCTCAATAAAAGGAACCATTCTCTGAATGCAGCAGAAAAGGGTAGGAGTCAAGTTTCTTCTTTTCTCCTGTCCTTTTCCTCTGCAGAATGCTGAGAAAGGAGATAATAAATAGAAAGGACACTTGTGTGATACATTCCCCATTCCTCAGCCATCATCCACGTGGTGTTGGCACAAAGAGCCTCTTACCTAGAGATCTTTATGAGATGAATAAACTACTACTTTTACTCATTGTGTACTGAAATGTAATCCTGGCTACAAGCAGAGAAATGGAATCAATAACCTCTAACAATCAGCTTGTGCTCAGACCCCTACCAACGCCCAAATTAAAAACACCTGGCTTCTATCAGGCTGATTCCAACACTATCAGGTGACCCCAGATGTATAAAAAAGCATCAAAATGAACAAGTTTGCCTAAAATGCCATAAATTTAGGTTTCATTAATGTCATATGTAGCTTATTTTATGCAATAATGGCAATAGACTGCATCAGAAAAATCCTCCACCCTGGTGTGTAGAACACAACCATAACCTCGGCCCTTCAGGAGCACTTGAAAACTTTGGGACCACTTCATAACTAATTTTCTTCAAAAATAAAAAGGAAATACTACTGTTCACCCTATTTATCTTATGGTGTTGTGGTGAACCTCAGAAGAAATAAAGAGCAAAAATTCTTTGTGGCAGTTTAAGTTTTATATTCTAATTATTTGGAATATACCTAATATACAACCACCAAGCAATATATAAGAATATCTAGCATATCTTTATTCATGATTGCTAAAGTTTGGAAATAATCAAATCATCAAGGTAATCAATGAATAAATTGCAGTATAATCGTTAAAAGGGATACTACATAGTTGTAATACAGAATGAGTAATTACAACATCAGTGAACCATTAGGCATGATTCCAATGATACGAAAGTCAAGAACAGGCAAAACTCTTCTCAAGTGACAGAAGTGAGTACTGGTTACTTGGGGGATAGAAGGGCTCTGACTGAGGAAGCCCTGGGGAGCCTTTTAGGTGGTGGGCACACAGGTACATGAATATGTAAGAGTTCATCAACTTGTATACCATATGATGTGTTCAATTACTATACATGTTCCATCTTCATAAAAATTTAAAATGTTATCTTAAAAGTCTCAAGCTTTAAACAAACATTAGGTAACACTCTGATATGCATTGCTGCTTTTCTTATACTAGCATACTGAAAAACCACACCAGAGATTTAGGAAATCAGAAAAGAACAAAAGTAAATGTCACAGGGTCCAACAGGGGCCAGTAGTTAGAGATTCTTAAACCATCTTAGAATCCTTTGCAAGGCTTTGGTGATCTCTTATACATTCATCTGCACGAATCTGGGTGTACTCTTGAAAGAGGAAGCACTGAGTATCTCTTCTCTAAACAGATGTGACTGGTGGAGGCATGGAGAGGTGAAGCCATGGTGTGGAGGGAGGGTGGCTAGAGTAGGAGTCCAGGGGGTCTTGGTTCTGGTCAGTTCTGCTAGTCATTAGCTTGCTGTGAGACACTGAGTTATTCAACTTCACCTTTCTGGATGGTATTAGAGAAAAAACCAGATCACTAAACTAAGTATCTATGATATTAAGATAGAAAACGGATCAAATAAAGGATAGATGAGGCTGTTAAAAGGAAAACAAGTGCTAAAAATGTCCCCCACCCCAAAAGCTTGAATCTAATGAATATTTAGATACAGCTCAGCCTCTTGGATTCCTCAAGGCTTGGGGATAAATCCTCTTTCTCCTGTTCTTAACATGGAATAAGATGACAGGAGACCAGGGGTCAGTCCTAGAAAGAGATTCCCAGTCAGTCACTTATTTTGAGATCTTAGAAACCCTGCTTTACCTCTCTTGCCTATGAGAGCGCCAGGAAGTGAGACCAACATGATGGATAAAGGCACTCAGGACTACACAAAGACTTTACCCAACATCAAATGCTAAGGGAATGTCTAACACTACCATCTAGAAACAGAAAAGGTTAAATGAAAGAATTGACAGATTATAATGACAATAAAAATGGGCTCCAGAGATGGGTAATATGTAGATTTCAAAGTGAAATGAAAGCTACTGGGAAACTTTTGATTACCTAAATTTATGGAAGAATATTCTATGTCTGCAGTAGGGCTAACTTACCTGTTTCTCAAAAGAATCACAAAATTCACATATTTTAAAAATACACTAGAAGAAAATGGCTCTCTTTAAGGTGTTGTACAAGTGCAAAGTTATAATTTAATTTCCACCTAAAATGGACAACCCTAGATAATTATTTCCTTTCAAATAACACTTAATAGCAAGAATTTGACAGCTTGCTAACTTTTAATAACTTATAGTAAATATATTAAAAGAATAAGGAAAATAGGGACTACTGCATTTTATAGATTATTTGTAAGACTTAAATCTATCTAGGAATGAAGGTCCAGTGCAGTGCACAGGGACCAGAATTTTAATCTTCTTGCTGCCTCTGAGTGCTCATAGTGTAACCCCATTTAAACTTTGTAGAATTTGGTTTCCCAGTGATAACAGGACAGTATTCTGCTCCTGCCAATTCGTAGCAGATCACTATATGAGGATCACAGAGACTGTACTGGACACTTGGTTCTGAAGATACATACAAAAAAAAATTTCTTCCCCCCAGTGCTAGGGATTAAACCCAGGGCTTTGCGCACACTAGGCAAGCACACTACCACTGAGCTACATCCCAGACCTACACAAAATTTTATCACCATCTCTTTCTATCATTATCTAGATAAAATGTGCATGTTTTAAGTAAACATCACATAATGTGAATGCTTTTTTTTAGAAGTCAAATGTTATATAAACATTTGGTATAAATATTTAATTGACTGAAGCATTGATAAATGTGAAAAAAAGAAAATGGCATTTTTTAGATGTGCGTCTGTAAGGTTAACGTGCAAATTTAATTTCAGATGCTACAAAACAACGTACATCAAAATGCCTAGCACAGAGCTGGGGCTCAATACATTTCAGTTGAATTTCCTCCTTCTTATCTGCCAAAACAGTGAAGTTTTGCTGGCAGTATCAAAAGTGTACTTAGTGTGCCCTGACTGGAAATTGCTCCAAAAGGAAGAAGATGCAAGACAAAGCCAGGTATCCCATGCTGGGAGAAGAGATTCTCTTCATGTTTTTTATTAAGTTTTCTCTATTCAAAGATAGTGACATTACCAGAGTTGTCTTAAACTACAACTGAAGTCAGTTCTGGTGATATCAGAATCATCTAAGGATACCACCTCATACCTAGCAATTAACTGAAATTTTTCTCTATAGCTCAATTATCAGACTCTGTGTCCTTAAATTCCAAAGAAGATATCACATTTGCAATATAGAACAAGCCTCACACAATTTAAAAATGCATTATCCCTTTCTAGATTTCTTTCCTCTCTAATATTCAGGATTCAATGAGCTGTGACACTTGGTTAAGATGCACAGCTAGGAGGGAGCATTACCTTTTCTAGACCAGTGCTCCCCACTTCCTCCAAAGACTGTAATGTGTTCAATTCTCACTTGGATGACAGATTTTTGTAAAGCAATAATGACTAAAATTAAATTGTATGTCTTGACGTATTTTACTTATTTAGCAAAAACCTTCACCATACGTAAGGACTAACATTATGTGTCAACTTGGCTAAGTTATAGTGCCCTGCTGTTCCATGAAACACTACTTACTCTAGATATTTCTGTGAAGGTATTTTGTAAATGAGTTTACCACTTATAATCAGCTAACATCATTTTCAATACATTCAATAACTGACGGGTCTTATCCTGTCAGTTGAAGGCTTTAAGAGAAAAAAAACAGGTTTCCCAAAAAAAGAATTCTGTTAAGACTAACAAAGAAGCCTTGTCTGAGTTTCAAGCCTGTCAGCTTATCTTATACATTTTGGACTTGCTAGCTCCCACGTGAGCCAATTCCTTAAAGTCAATCAATCAATCAATCAAGTGAGGGAGGTGTGTATGTGTATGTGTGTGTGTTTTCTTTGGTTCTATTTCTCTGGAAAATTCTGACTGACAAATTCTACTACAGTCCAAGGGGAAAATAAAAAAGTAATATTGTATAAACTGACAAATAAAAATAAAGCCAAACTGTTACCTGACATACCCAAACTCTTGGTACTCACTACTGACTGTGGAAGAGGGTACAGACACTGCGAACCCCTCTGAGACAACAGTCAGCTCCTAAGAGTATGTGTCTAAAATTCTAGAAACATACTCCCTGAAAGTAGGGACCATATCTGTTCTTTAAGAAAAACTTTTGCCAGGCTCAGTACTGATTAAAAACTCTTATATATGCTGATTAACTTGTCTCCCAAACAATATGGTTTCTGTCAGATGCCTTTGTATAGTTGAAAGTTGGAGGCATTTTCCATTTAGCTTGAATTGAGACCTATGGTGAACTTGCTCCTGCCATTCCCTTGATACATTCCTATCTGCTGGCCCCAGGTCAAACTCTCTCTCAGAATATACAATTATTTTTTTGAGTCTCCACTGCCACCCTATGCTCCCTTGTACCCAATGTTTGAGCTTCTACAGAGGGCAGAGGGCTGTCAGCATGCAGCACAGGATGTAGTGCAAAGCAGAAGGTTTGTCAGGGTGGTTGCCAGGCACTGTCCTAGCAAGACTGGATCCATTAGTGATGGTAACTAAAACTAAATGCTATAAACTATGTTTTTGAGCTATTGAATCTAATTCCATTAAAATTTCATCACAACCTTGAGGTATAATGAAGGATCAGTGAACTAAATAGCTATGTGTATCGTGACTCATAGCTCATACATCAGACAGGGAGGCCTTGTCCTAACAATTGTGTTAATCTTCTACTGAAAGAGACCTTTACTGAAAATAGCTGGATGTCCTTTATGCTAGAATAGAGTTTTTTTTCTACCCGCTGCACATTCATCTGAGAGACTTTAAAAATTCAAACAAACCATGCCCAGCACCCATCTCAAACAAACAGAATAGAATCTCTGGGGTGATTCTGATTTTTAATCAGCATTAAAAAAAAAAAAAAGTTCCTCAGGTGACTAAATGTGTGGCCAGCGTGGGAAATCACTGGGCTAGTGGACTTTATAGCCTTTTGTCAGGGTCTAGGCTAAACCTGGAATGTACTAGGGAGGTCAGAAGCTCTAGGACTACTTAAGCTGGGATTACAGGTGAGTTCCAGAAATACAACTGAGGCCTGTGGAAAACTGAGTGGATTATGTTTCCCACAAGTATGCTGCAGTTGAAGCAATTTGTTTGTTGGCTGAATAAAGAATGAGTGCCCTACTTCAGGCACCTTAAAATTTAACTTCTTAAGGACATCTAGGAAAATAATGCCCACCACAATGATTCTAATACAGGGAATTCTTTCTTAATACCTTTTTGGCTTCCTCAGCTGTGACAGAACTTCCAGAGGCTTCATCTTTGGTGATCAGAGTGATTCCATCTAAAAAGTAATTCACAGAGTAAACTTCAAATACAAATAGTTAATCCTAATCTCACTTTCCTTTCCATCATCTCCTCCCACCTTTGCTCTGGAGACTTAAAAATATAAAGATGCTCTGTCCTAAGAAAAAAAACCCATAAAACTAAAATGGCAATGAATAAACATCTTTCATTTCATCTCACACTATCCTTTCTCTTATTTTTGCTAGTGTAGTAAGAAACAAAGGCCACTTGTGCAGTTCTACCCACTCTATGAAGGCTTTCTTAGTCAACTTCAGAAAGACACAGCACTCCCTTTTAGAATTCTTAGATCACTTTTTAACCCTTGGAAATCACTCTTCATATTTTGTGTAACTATTTGCATGTTTATCTGTCCTTCCTCAAGGGCAGGGAATAGGTACTATTCATCTTTTTATTCCCCTCCATGTAGTACATACAAGAAGCTCAATAAATAAATGTTTGAATGAGTGTATTCTTTTGTCCAAATCCATCAGTACTCAATGGTGGAGTGTGTAAATATTTTGAATTAAGCAGTGTGACTGGCTATTGATGAAATGACCAGAGCACTAGGTCAGGAGGTAACACACTGTTACAACTGGTGTCTGTGTCATTTAACATAGCATTGTGCATCAATTTTAGCTCAGTGAAGGCAAACGACAGAAAATCTACCCTTTAATGTTCTCTTCTTCCTAAGATTCTTTCCTATCTCAAGTGGCTGATGCATGATACTCATAGAAAAACACATGCATTTTTAACATTCATTTGTACCTAGAAAAGGCACAGGTTTTAGGTATTCTCTAAGCAGCATATAAACTCCCAGAAAATAAGGATCTTGTGCATATACTGCAAGTTTGCTTTCAGCAAATAGTATGTTTTAGGCATTCATAAATACCCACACCAACTTCCTCTTTCATCTACTGGGATAGCCATGGTGACAAAAAAAGTGATTTGAGTAAGTCCCATTCACCATGCATCCTAATTGCTTTTGCTCACCAATGTAGAGGTTAAAGGGTTGAAAAATTAACTGTCAAGTAACACTGCCTGGGATGAAATGCCGCCTGTTACAAGGTGGATAGATAGGTGTGTAACCCCATCCAGAATTTACACCGAAAAACAGGTGGAGGCTAATTTTTGCCTCTTGATTTATAAGTGAAAGTTTCATACCATCTCTTAAATTTATTTTCATATGTATTTTTAATAAATAATATACTTGAGTTCTGAAAGAAAACTGGGTCATGTTTTCAAAAACAGGAAAAAGGCATGAAGAAAATCAAATATCAAATGTAACATTGGAAGAACATGTGTTCATTCCTCTCTGGGTTTAGTTTGTAGTGGTTGCTATGAATAAGTGAGGAAATGAGTGGCTTTAGTGAATGAAGATGTGGGGCTGCTGACTTGGGAAGCCCAAAAATGTGGTAATGAAAGGTAGCAGGGAGGCAAAATCTGGGTAAGTCAGTCCAAGTGCAGTGGACCAAAGAGAATGGAAATAGCCTAAGAATATGAGAACGGGGCAAAGTTTGTCCGCACAGTGGCTTCAGTGAACAAACAGAAGGGCACAATCTTAGAAATGGGTCATGCTGCACAGAGTGTAACATCCACTTGGTATTTATCAACTCTGTATTGATGCTTATTAAAGGGGACTTTGAGTTCAATGAATCCTGGGCATTTCTCAAAGCCAAATGGGAAGTCTATCAGGTCCCACCGGGCATGATGACACATATCTGTAAGCCCAGCAACTCTGGAGGCTGAGGCAGGAGGAGGCTCTCAAGTTTGAGACAGTCTGGGCAACTTTTCTAGACCCCGTCTTGAACTAAAATGAAAGGCTGGGGATGTAGCTCACTGGGAGAGTGTTTCCCTAGCATGTTTGAGGCTCTGGGCTTGATCCCCAGTACCACAAAAGAAGAAGGAAGAGAGAGAGAGTGGTGGGGGGGTGGGTGGGCAGGCATTTTACTAGTTAAAAATGTGGGTGAGCACATTACTAAAGAAAACTACTTTCAAGATTCACTTGGGGGGGGGGAGGGAGAGAGAGAGAGAGAGAGAGAGAGTGTGTGTGTGTGTGTGTGTGTGTGTCAGTCAGTCACCAGGCTTCCCCACCTAGGAGATCATGCAATATAATTTATGTTTAGAAGTTGTATGGATATGCAGCAGCATCAATATCTAGAGGGGGAAATAACCCAAAAAACAAAGAACTCCTTACCCTGAACAACAATGTCCCAGAAATGATTTAACTGTTTAACTTCCACTTTCTCTCGAAGGGATTTCATGAAACTGTTGAAGTGCTGTTCTTCTGAAAACTGTGGGGGCAAAATCCATCATCTTCAGACCAAGGTACAACAGATTTTGAATCCACCATATTTATTTATTTATTTATTTATTTATTTTAAAAGTTCTTGTAAGGTAGATGGAAGCTGGCAATTCAAGTTGAGCTTTATTCGTTGAAAACCAGAAATCCTTCCACCTACGCAAGGAACCAACATTCCCAGAGCCACATAGCTTTTTTGGCACCTAAAACTTTGTTTTTAACTAAATACAAACAATATCAAACAAAAGAGAATAATTCATTATTCAATGGATGCTCATGTACTGATCACTCAGCTTCAGTAATTATTACTTAACCATCTGCTTCATCTAGACCCTACCTTCATCTCCCATAACACTTGGATTATTTTGAAACACATTTCAGTTTTATTACTTAACTTATACATAATTCAGCATGCAATATCAAAAATTATTTATTTTTTCTAATAAAATATATTCATTTGCTACTCTGCATCTCATAACAATTATTAATTCCTTAAGAGAAGCAAAATTTAAAATATATTTTCTTAATTATTTCTTTTTAAAAAATAATTTTATAGTTAAATATAGGTCTTCATTAATACTGACTGACCAGTCTCTAAAGTTTATTTTGCTCCTTTTCCATCTTTTTAAAATTAATTAACTAATTAATTTTTTTTTTTTTTTTTGGTGGTGGTGCCAAGGACCAAGCCCAGGGCCTTACTCATGCTAGGCAAATGCTCAACCACTGACCTACTCCCCAATCTTCTTTTTCCTGTTTTGAGAAACCCAGTGACCCAGTGCATGTGGTGACAACAGCATGCAGAAGTGCTATTAGCTCCCTTTACCTGGGGTAATACTTATTAAAAAACAACACATTTTAGTCTCTTTTCATCTAATGAAATCTTTCTCTACCCAAGTAAATTATCTTTACTTGGTCTTGTCTTGACTCTACTTCCCCAAATTTTGTCTTCTGTAGGGTATTTGGGTCATTTGCTTCTGAATCTTTTACTTTAATCCAGTTTTAAGGATTTTCTCATTTTCTTGCCATTTTTTTGTAAACACCTAAAATAATTTCAGTGCTAATTTCTTCATTCATTCAGCAAATATTTAATAAGCACTCACACAAGAACATATATCACAACTGTACCTTCTCTAAAAACATACTTTCTAATTTAAACTTGCTCACCTCTTGCCTAGAGGTATAGAGGCCTATAAATAATTTGGAAGATTTTAAGAAGTGTTTTCTAAAAATTTCTAATAAAACAAATAAAAACCCTACACAAAGGTGAGTGTGTTGGGTTGTTGTTGTTGTTGTTGTTGTTATTATTATTGGTGTTCTTTTTTCCCCTGGCATTTAGATTCCTACTTCTGTCTTTGTAAAATCTTCTTCAATAATCATACCAATACATGTTTTTCATCAATTTTCCTAAAGTAATTAGCCCATCCTTCACAATAATGCCAGGGCTATCAGATATTACAATGTAAATTTCCTGGTGCCCCTGAGCAGCACACAAAGCTAGAGCTTTAGTAGCATAAAAAGCTCACTTCAAGGGATAAACATCCACCCATCTACATTAATTCCTCCTCAGAAATGACAATGGTCACTCCCACTTCTCTTGGCACACAACTGCTATTCATAGTGAGAATAATTAGTTCCAAAGGCCAGGCTTATTGATGGGATGCCGGTTTTCTCTTCCCCGTGATGGCTGCCCATAGCTTGGGCAGAGAAGATAGGTGAGAAGAAAGATACCTGAATGGCTTCTTCCCGGAAGGCTTTGATGCAGTCCATGCTCTTCATAAAATATGGTGTTTCGTTAGTATCCAAAAACTGTTCAATGTGAGTTATTAGCTGATGACATGCTAGAACATAAGAAAATAAATTTATTTTCATAGATGTGAGTGATGCTTGTTAGATTAAGCCCCTTTGAGTGTGCCAAGAAGGATGAGGTTCATAGAGAATGCACAACAGCCAGATTTCCTTTGGGGAGACATGAGATGCAAAATTCTCATTTCAAAAATCTACATATGAGAAATGTGGTTTTGTCAAAAATAAACTAATTTCTGTTCCTTTTGAAATGTCAAACATTAGGTTGGGGTAGTTATTTTAATCATATTGTTGTTGCTTTTTATCTTCCCCCCAAAATTTAGGGGCATTTGGACAATTCAAAACTACCTTTCCTAAATATTCATAGAAAACAAGTTGTCAAGTTCCTCCCCTAATGCCACTCAGGATAACTATCAAGCAGTGCCAGGCAGTGAAAAGTCATGAGACAGAAACACCCATCTTTTGTCAATCCCAGATTAAATTACAAAGAACAGTCCCAGTGTCACCATAACATCCTGTTAGAATGAGAACCTATTACTATTATCTTATGCCTTAGCTGGGCCTGAATATCCTCCCTGTTGCTCAGCACTCCACAAGCTATGAATACTTAATAAACAATATCTATCAGTAAGCAATGTCATAAATGCTACAGAAAGAGGAAATACATCAATGTCATCATTTCTAAGGGGGATTGCAACTTGAGCCTGCCTCATAAAGAAACAAAAATTGTTAAGTGTGGAGGGGAAAAAGCAGTGGAAAATAGAAATGTGGAGGTCATCTCAGGGAACTAAATTTGCTAGTACATCAAAATTGGCCCTTAAGATTTATGTTGAATACCAAACCAAGGAGATAACAAACACTCATGGCCTAAAGGCTCACTCTCCCTTGTCTCCTGAAACCATTTACTCGCCAGCTACTTCACAATTTATGCTGAATGGTCAAGATATTCTAATACTGCCGTATCTTTTTCAAATCACAGTCTCATTTGAGCATTTTAGTAGTTAAAAATGTGGATGAGCATATTACTAAAGCAAACTACTTTCAAGATTCACCTGAAAAGACGCAAGGCCTCTAACTCTGAATCAGTGACCTGAACACTATTCAATGCCTTGTGACAGACAGGAAATCGGTGCCATCTACTTATTTCCTGAGGACCTTTTAACATTTGGAGAGGATTAAGAAACTGGATGAAACATTTTCGAATATAGCAATTTTGCTGCAAGGGAAAAATATCCCCAATAACCACTTCATCTCTTCTACCAACTAGGAGATTATGATCTCCATTATAATAAAGCCTCTAACAAATTTGAGAGATTAAAGAAACACTGTATTGCAATTTCAGAAATCTTTACCAATGTCTCCTCTAGCAGTGAATTAATATCCAACTACAATTCAAAGGAGAGGAAAAAAATGTTCAAATAGTGTTTTTAAATAAGGTAAATAATACAACTCTGATTAGTCAGCAGAGCAGAATACCATCAATAAGGAGCTCAAAGCAAATAGAAGCTATTTACTCTTTTCCATCTTAGAAAGAAAAATACAGAAATGTTCAAGATTCTGAATTACCTTCTCAGATAGATTAATATAAAGTTAACTTCGAGTTATATCTAGGTACAAATAGGCACCTTGTGGGCCAAGAGACTCCAAGTCTCCCATTTCTTTTTAAACGAGAATGAAGAATTTTAGGAAGATTTAATGAAAATATTTCCCTTTATAGGCTGAGCACAGTGGTATACATCTACAATCCCAGCAGTGTGAGAGGCTGAGGCAGGAAGGCCTCAAGTTCAAGGCCAGCCTGGGCAACTCAATGAGAACCTATCTCAAAATTTAAAAAATAAAAAGGGATAGGGATATAGCTTGGTGATAAGAGTATCCCTGGGTTCAAACCTCAGTACTAAAAAACAAACAAAAACCAAACAACAAAACATTTGCTTGACTTAGTGATCGTTTTCATTAGCTTATCCTAGTAAATATTTATTGTGTAACTGCTGGGTTGCTCGCAGCTAAAACACTCAGGGGTCACTCCAGGGGAACTGGGCTAACTGGGCCACGTGAAATAACCACACAAGAGACAGAAATACCTTTTTCTTTGGGGGGGCTGTGACGGCTCCTCTGACCTTAAGGGTCCGGGGGGAGAGAGGGAGAGAGAGAGAGAGAGAGAGAGAGAGAGAGAGAGAGAGAGAGAGAGAGAGAGAGAGAGAGAGAGAGAGTGTGTGTGTGTGTGTGTGTGTGTGTGTGTACCTGCTAACCCCTTTTATTGAGGAGAAGCTATTTAAATGAGGTAAGGGGTCAGGTTTCAGGGGGCTGAATCTAGCTTCAAGATGTCTGCTGTCAGAAGGCTGACTGACATCTAGGTAGGCCACACTCAAGGGAAGTGTAAGAGAAGGGGACACACAAAGGGCACTTCCATGGAACATTCTATCCTAAACAGGGCAAGGGGTAGTATTATAAAAAAACAGGTAAGCATAGCTCCACCCATGGGGATGTAGGAAGGCACACCCATGCCTATGCACGAAGACACAGTCTCTGGCACCCTAGAAGACCAGGGCTATCCAGATCACAGCATGATTGCCGGATGCCACACCGGTCAGCAGGGGAGTCAGACACAGTCACGTGCTAGTTGGGCCTCCCACGTGTAACTACTATGTATAAGACCTTATGCTATGTTCTGTGGGAGGCACAATTAAGTCCTTTGAGGAGTTTAGTACTAGGGAATATAACGCATGTACACAAAAATACTAAAAATAAGGTAAATATAAAATGGAGTATGAGTGTTACAAAACATTTGAATTGGACTGAAAACAATTTTTTTTCATATTGGTTTAAATGTTTAAAATTCTTTATACAAAGTGTCACAAATCAACATGACTTTTAAGCTGGGTAATAAAAAACAGAATATGACTATCATCCAGCAAGGGGGAAAAAAAAGTGCCTAAGTATGAATAATAGGATTAGGAAAGCAGAGGGTTTATGCTGAATGGTCAAGATATTCTAACACTGCCATATCTTTTTCAAATCACAAATCACAAATGCAAATGGCCCAGTATCTGAAGAAAAGGCAGAAGTGAGCATTAGACAGAAATAGGTTGGAAGGAAGAAGTTCTAGGGGGAGAGAATAATATACGTAAGGGCTCCTTTGAAAGTATGAAGAAAAGGGGATTCAAGACCAATCCTTTATGTACTATACAACCGAGAGGTTGGAGAGAGGAACGGGAGCTGAAAGAGGAGGCTAAGAAGGAACCATCAGCAACACAGAAAACCAAACATTTTATCAGCTCCTAAAAGAAGAGAGTTACCAGGTGTGTCCAAATTTTTACAAAAAGACTATGAGAAAAGAAATGAAAAGAGCACAAGAGATTAAGGGAAGGAAAATAGGGAGTCCTTTGGCCCAGGAGTCCATGAAGCAACTAGAGAAGTACTCAAGTGCTTTGAAAAAAGTCACAACTTCCTGATCCATTTCATCCTAAAATATGACAGAACACACACACACACACACACACACACACACACACACCCCAACTTACAGAAAAAAATATTCAAAAGAGACTAAAATAAGCAAAGCCAAAAATCCATTTGCATGGATTTATATGCCTCCATTATATGATAAAGGAGGCATATAAAGAAAAATAAGTGGACATCTCAATGCCCAGGTTCTACTTAAGAACCAAAGTCCTCATGTATCTATGGGCCTGTTTGGATTTAGGTTTTCTTATTTACATGTCAGACTGTTCTGTTTTTTACTCAGCAGTTCTGAAACACAGGCAGATAAATACATTCAAACTTACAATAAATCCAGTGAATACAAAGACCAGATTTTGCCCTTATAGGCAAGTTAGATGGCCAGTGTATCTGGCTCGTGATTCTAAATTCTGTACCTCCACTTGAATTATTCTCTGGTTCACTGACTATAACGAATCATTTAACATCAGGGAAAACCTGTGATGAATGATGCTTTATATACTGAATATTAGAATGATATGTGGACAAGAGACTTCCCTCCAAAGTTTGGAAGCACTTCCCATTTCCTTGTCATTTTTAATAAAAATAAAATGCAGAAATGGCTGACAAAAATAATATTTTACTTTGGCTGGATTACGCTTTTGACTCCTCTGTCATACCCTGCCCCCCATAAAGGAAATGCTGATCACCAGGGTACATTTCTCTGCTTCGACTACAATTATAGGCTAAAGAATGGCCTGTCAGTCTCCATAGTCCCAATTATAATCATAAATCATAGCCCCAATTATAATTCACCAAAATGTTCTTCAGAATTAGTCGGTGACTCAATAATACTCATTAGTAGCTAATATAAAAAATGGCCACTGGAAGAACCATTCATCTTTGCATACTAAGTCAGGCAAAGGGCTGTCATTTATTTCAAGGAATACTTCACAAATGTCTGTTCCAGATTTTGAGGTTTTATATATGAGCATTATATATTAACTCAGCATATAACGAGTACAGATGTTGATACTCAAAATTATTCTCAACACACTAATACTTTGGAGTCATATTCCAGAGGTTATCTAGATTCAAAAGTATCATATAACAGAAAAATGGCAGAATTTTCTTGTTTAACTGAAATAACTGTTCTCTCTCTCTACAGAAAACATTCACTACCATTTCAAAGTCCTACAAAATGGACCACCTTCCTTCTTGGTGCATGGTTAAGAGGGCCAAAACCCAGGGCTATGGGCTTGTCTGTCTCTGATTTATATCTACTCAATATCTCTGTTCTCTGCAAAGATGTTTCCAATAAAAGTCAAAGGAAGTCATCTATTGTGGGTTTTTTCATTTATGTGATAAGAGACAAAAAAGTAATAGGTTTACTCATCTGCCACGAATTACATGTGAAGGATGGTTAAAGGAATCTCAACTGATTTTGCTGAGCCCAACATTCAGGATGTTACCTCAATTTAATTCTTCTCACTATCTCAATGCCTCATATGAATTTTGCTTATTGAAAAGATGTACATTTTGCAGCTGTCAGCAATGAAATAATTTTTGAACGTTAAGAACAGATTTATATACTCAA